CAATCTACAATGTCCACTTTTTAAATATAGTTCGCCCATCATTACCTTACATTTAAGCATATGCACTTGTACTCAATAATTAAACACTTTTAACAGTTTGATTACCACAATTTTTTTACTCGTGCACTCACTTTTTCAATTTCACTCTCCACTAATTACTAGTTGGTCACCCACTAAAAACATTTTTATTCTGGAATATACTTCTCCACTTATCATATTCTGGAATGCATCACACTAGCTAGTTGTACACTTGACATCACTTTGTGTCTCATACGTGTCCCTATTTAACAATCAGTGTTGGATAGTGGTTAGTAATATCATATTCTGCACCCTTCTCTTGGATACTGGATAATAAGGAAAACAACTATGCACTTTCCAACCAGTGGCGGATTTACAGTTGAGATTTTGGGTGTTCATTTTCTTTGTACAATTAAAGAACAATAAATAATTATATTAAATTTATATATGTATACTAGTATTTTTTTCATTATTTTAGGTGTTCACTTGAACACCTTTGAACAATGGTGGCTCCACCATTTCCAACTTTAGCTTCTTTAAAACCGATTAGAGTACTGAACTTTTTTCTTTTAAAATTGGTAAGAAGGTTGAAATACTATTATACCTCAAGCATTAAGTATCTTAACCCGTTAGTATTAAGGGAAATAATATAATGGCATTCGGTGCACCATATCACCAATGAAGATTTTTTGCCTGACGTACGATTCCCTCATTTGAGTGTTCAAGATCATTTCGTATTTTTCACGTAAGGAGATGTTTTTACCTGGTCTCTTCCCTATATATATACATATACATACATACATACATACATATATATATATATATATATATATATATATATATATATATATATATATATATAAGAGAAAGATCAAGTACAAAGTGTGCTTATTGTGCAAATATTTGTACGATGCACCTTGACGTTATTTGCATTGCATATTGAGGTTCAAAGTATTGCACATTATGAAGTCATAAAAATAACAGTTGCACATTATGGTGCAACGAGTTGCACCCTAAAAAGTTGGGTTTTATTACAAAAATGCCACCTTGCCTTTATGTCCTTTGGATCAACTCATCGGACGGTCAAGATGAGTTTGTACTTTGTAAATTAAGAAGGCTTTGAATTTGATCTCTATTATATATATATATATATATATATATATATATATATATATATATATATATATATATATATATATATATATATATATATATATATATATATATAAAGCGCTTTTAATGAGAACCATGTTTAACGTGAGAACTGTGAGAACACCACTTTTAACTCAATGTGATAGACTATAACATTTGTATATTACACTTTGTCGTATTGATGAAATATTTACATTTGTATATTACACTTTATCGTATTGATGAAATATTTACAATTGACCAACTATTTATTTGATGTTGTCATGACTTGGCCACAACGACCTAGATTGATAGGGGCTACCCAGCCAATCATCGCCCTTTTCTCAAAACGCTGCATCCAGATTTAAGACCCCTGACCTGCAGCGGTGAAAGTGGGATTTCCCAAACCTGGGAATATGGTGTTAAGACTCGGGGTTTCATCCTAAAAGATCACCTGATAGGAAGACTAACCTCAAGCCTTATATAACACACCCCCTTATTGTTTTATTGTTTTATAGCTTTCCGGTGTAGGACAAATACTTTAACACGTCCCCTTAGTCCAAACCGGGCTGGACAATATCGGAGTGTATAAATGGGTCAAACAAACCCTTAACAAGATACCCTTAATCATGGATGTTACACAATCAGTCATATCACAACCGGACTTGGCTCTGATACCATGTTAACATCCGGGGTTCTCTCCAAAATATTAAGTTTGCAAACGATTTGGAGATGTTTGAGAACTGAATCATTTCAGGCTTTGCTTAGCCAAAAAAACGGTTTATGAGATTGTGATAAACAGTGTTTGGTTACTTCTCTTTCTAAATATGGAGATCCATTTGGAATGTCATCACAAGCTTTGGAAGGAAGAAGAGCACAGTTGAGCCAAGCAGTGCCTCTAATGAATTCTCAGACAACGATGACATGTGCTCCAATGATAGCACCGACGAAGTCTCAGAATGCCCAACATGTTTCGAATATTTCAACATTGTCAAAATGTTCTCTACGTCGTATGGTGTGGAGTGTGGACACACCATATGCAAGATTTGCCTTTTGGGATTAAAACGGGCTGCTATAAAGATCTCCACAACCTAACAAATCAAAATTCCGTTCATCATCTTCTGCCCTTGGTGCAACTTGTTGACCTTTGACTCATTTTCCATGGGATCCTTAAAGCCCCCAACAAGAATTACTTCCTCCTTTGGACGGTGGAGAGCAGGAACGACGACCTCTTCGGGGCCCACAAATGCACAAATCACAAAAATGTGTAGACCCCTTTGCGCGTGAATGCCACCACCATCTCGAATGCCAATTCTTCTTTTACTGTTGGTGGTGGTGACATAAACCACTTAGTCAGGAACAGTGGCGAAGGCGTCCGCGGTGCTAGAGGTGCTTACAGGAGACGACCACAGTTTTCGTTCGTTTCACATCGAGGTTCCCATTGGCGGCGGTTCTTGTTTTTATGGTTATCTTTGTCATTCCTTGTAGCGCTATCATACTTATGTTGTACTTCGCTATCACAATCGTCTTTGCGGTCCCCACTTCCTTAGTGACATATTTTGGATATCCAACTTTGGATTGGCTGATGAGAGAGATAAGCAGCTCAGTATATGTTCCTGTCATCTATCTTATGAAGTTTTTTCATGTATCCTGTTAGACTCCAACAAAGCTCTGATACCACTAGTTGATCGTTGCGTTTACCGCACATCTGTGCATTATATATATATATATATATATATATATATATATATATATATACATATACACATATACATATATATATATATACATATATATATATATATATGTATATATATACATATACATATGGGGTAAGGATCAAATGAGAATACCATCTTAGGAGAGAAATGAGAATGATTTTGGAGCGTTGGATTTTAACATTGTGCATCATGTAAAACAGAAATGTGCATATGAAAAATTGGAAAATGTGCATTTCAACCGTGCAAAAGTTTACACGTAAAAGTGCACATTAGAATTTTGCATTACTTTAACTATAAATGTGCATTTTTGTGAATGATAAAGTGCATCATTTTGGAGCGTTCTCATTTCTCACGTTAAGAAGTGTTCTCACCGGAACCGCACCCTATACATATGTATGTATATGTATATATATATATATATATATGTATATGTATATGTATATATATATATAGGGTGCGGTTTTGGTAAGAACATATCTTAGGAGAGATGAGAACGAATTTGGACCGTTGGATTGAATTATGTGGAACTGAGTTGTGCATTTGGTGAAACCGAAATGTGCATTAGATGATATTGAAATGTGCAGAATAAAGATTTAAACTCACATGTGCATTAGGTGAAACTGAAATTTGCAGAATAAAGGGTACTAAAATAACATCACATCGTACCTTTTATTTTGCACATTTTAGTTTCATCTAGTGCACATTTCAAATTCATCTAATGCACAATTTATCTTCACATTATGTCACTACATTGTACACTTTGTGATGCACATTTCAATTTCACCTAATACACATTACAGCTTCATATAATGTACATTGAATTTCACATAAAACGAATCTAACGGTCCAGATTCATTCTCATTTTTTCTCATAAGATCATGTTCTTATTTGAACCAAAACATATATATATATATGTTTTATATATATATATATATATAAAACATATATATATATATATATATATGAGATAAGGGTCTCGAACATATATGTTTTATATATATATATATATAAAACATATATATATATATATATATATATATATATATATGAGATAAGGGTCAGATAGGGTCTCGAACCTGAAAAAAATGTCAAATAAGGCCATATTTAGGATGCTCTGTCCGGCCGACGCCATTTGGGGTAGTTCCCGGTAGAATTTTTTTATGAAATTTTTTGAGAATCTTATTCATTAAGTCTAGTTTACTCATATCAAATTTGAACTAAAACTTTAATCGGGAAGCCATTCAAATGAATTCTTGAAGATAACTGTACCGTTAAAAGCGCAGTTATCTTCATGAATTCATTTGAATGCCTTCCCGATTGAATTGTTAGTTCAAATTTGATATGAGTAAACTAGACTTAATGAATAAGATTCTCAAAAAAAATCATCAAAAAATCCCACCGGGAACCACCCCAAATGGCGTCGGCCGGACAGAGCATCCTAAATATTGCCTTGTTTGACATTTTTTTCAAGTTCGAGGCCCTATCTGACCCTTATCCCTATAAATGGTAAAAACGAATGATACACCCCAAATATAGAATCGTGAAAAAGATAAAGTCAATGGTTAAATATCCCCGATATACAACACCAAAATTTCTAAAGTTTAGCCTCACTTGAAATGAAAATAAAAATCAAATGTGTGTTTGTGTGTAGAGAGAGAGATGGTCTGCTCCGGTGTGCCTCACTAGATGTCCCATACATCCAAGCCCGTTTGAGGGTCTTCTGGGTCAAAATTTGTGATGATTTTTTGTGTGCATGTTCTTAATGAGGTGCAAATTATATCAACATAATTTCAGCTCAAAATTCAATAAAAAAATTAGTTGAATAAATTATTGAAATCCAATGTGGTTTTTATATATAACCGGAATTAATGAAAATGCACGACGACATTTTGGTAAATTAACCAAACTTTTCCGAATGCAACGCTTCGAACATTAATATACAAACATTTATTTCATTGCAAAATAATATGTAACACTTTGAACATGAAAATGTAATATAGTACACAACAACAACATCCAAGCATATTCCCAAAATGCAATACACATCACACAAAAATGTATCATACAAAATTAAATTTTGAACAATAAAGACTCTTTAATTTGTATATATGTAATAATTAACAAGTTTTATTACATTATCGAGAATGGAGTAATACCCTAATAAATTAAAGAAAAAATTGTTTAAACAAAAGTAGATAGACATAGACTCAAAGTTGCATTCATGCATGCAATCCATAGGCTAACCTCGGTTAAGTACAAGAGTCCTGGCTAAATCCCAGTGTCCCTCCCTCAAGATCGTAAAACATCTCCAAAGTCTGCTGCTGCAAGTTTCCAAAAACTCCCGTCACATTGTACATGTCATTCTTATTCGCGCCAAAACCCAAACACACTTTGGAAGTCCGGTCAGCACTGACCGGCACCATGACGGCGCTGCGGTGCAAAACAACCTCCATACCACCGCCAAACGTGAAGCTTATGTTGGGTATGGTCGGGTTAGGGCGGTTTGTGAAGTTGTAGCAGTTGTCAAGAATCCCACTCTCGTTTCCGGGCGCTCTCCGATAATCTTTCATGTGATCGGAGAATGATTTGTTCAGAGCCGCGTACACTGTGGGGGGAAGGATAGATATGGGGGAGGCGGAGTCTACGAACATTCCGACGGCGTGCCGGAATCCGGCCGTGCAGTTCATTTCCAGCGCCTTTCCGTTCACACTTATGTTCGTCAGATCAACGTAGTATAAACCGGAAACATAATTATTGACGTCCACGCCCGGCGGCGGTTCCGTCAAGTTCGTGTAGCCGACGTGTTGACCCGTCGGAGTCTTTGGCCGGCGGCAGCCGAATGCTGCATAGCCGCCGGTCCCGTTTTCCGTCGGGAGGCAGTACGAGAAACATTTCCTGACTTCCTTGGACATTTGGGAAACGATGGAGAGGTTTGACTGCGCTAACCCCATCACGCCCGCCGCGTCCAGGCGGCCGGAAAGGTTGTTGTTATGGCCGCACCCGAAGGTGAGGTTGAAAGCGCCGCCGTCCTCCTCCTCCTCCGAACCTAGGAATTTCAGCTGGTCAACGCCCAGATTGCCGGTAGACCGTGAGTCAACGTCTTCTGCGTAATACACGTTGTAGCCGCAAATCAGGGTGTCGTTGGTGGATCTTACGGCGGACGCCGTTAGGCCCGTGGCTTGGTAGACGTCGGAGCAGGCTGTGGAGTCAAATAGGACGTCGGAGTATTTGGTTGACTTGGAAGGATCATATATGGGTCCCGACTGGTTGAAGCATTGACTTAGACCATCATCCTCCTCCGTGCAGGGCTGGCATTGAGTCCACGTGAGGTGGCTGCCGGTGTCGAGGACAAGGCTCAGGTTAGTTTTCTTGCTCCCCAGTTTAACCTGCATGGTGTGGATCCCGAAGGTGCTGCTAACATTCGCAAGACGGCGGTCGCCGGAGGCGTCGAGTCGTGCCTTTTGGGACCGAAGAAGCTTACTCATCATCGTTGACCGGTCCACCTTGCCGTATCCTTGTCCTAATCTGTGGATCACATTCAGTCTCGCCATGCCTGAAATGACGTCATGATCCATATACCACGTATTAATTAAAAATAGAAATTACTCAATTGAAAAATTGTTTTTTGGGAAGAAGGTAGTGTATATTAATAAGAAAGAATGTAAGCAGTATACAACCAGACAAAGAGCCTCATGTCTATCATCCGTTTTTGAATCAGACTTAAAACATGTCATCTCAAAGAAGTAACCTTGATCCTGAATTGGGCGTACTTGATGCATAATCAATTCAATTATAAGTTTATAATTTTTATAAAATTTGTAATACTGTTGATTTTATATTGGACAGGTTATCTCATTCGATGGGGTCTGGGTCGGGCTTGAACAATTTGTTTTAGACCCATCAGATACATGATCCGAGTTTGAAATCATAAATAAGATTAGGATTCTGGGTCTATAACACTATGTTCAGGCCCAGACCCAATGACAGGGCTACACAAACCTTGAAATGAGATGAGTTATAACAAACAAACCATATTTACAATCAAGACACCATGTTTTATATTTAAAAATTCAATCACCATATATGGTGTTTGTACACGTTTTATGTATATGTCATTTTACATATCGGCCGAATTATCTGTCCATAGACAATTTATTTTCATTTCGTTAAAAGAACTGCTTTATGCTTTGACAATTTTTTTGGTGTGCCAAATAAGTTGTCGCACAAATAATCCAAAACATAAAAACGCATTTGTGGATTCTATCAATCATCTCCAGTACTACATAAAATGATAAAAACTCATTTGTGGATGTCAAAGAAACAATTAATTTTCTTAAACTTTGTAAAAATCAAAGCTAGAAGAATGAAACCGATGATATATACGTAATTTTGAAGATTATTTTCAACTACTCGATCGTTTTAGTTCTAAAAATTGCCTCAATCAAAAGCACCAAATTAAAGCTTCATCCACTTACTTTATGCCCATATTTCGAAAAGAACACATTCCCAATTTCACACGATCCTCTAAGGTTTGTTCAACCAATTTTTCCTCGTCTTCATGCTACTAATTTCTCTTCATTTTAAGAATGTTCTTTATCTTCTTCCAATTTGCTTTAGCTTAACTTCTTCTACTGTGATCAAAGAGCTTTGCTTAAACTCACTTTCCTGTTTAGTTCCTTTTTGTTATTTGATTGTTAATTATGAACAATTTCATTAATTCTATGCAAATTCTTTAGCACTACTACAATGAGCACCATAAACAGATCTCAATATTCTACCAAATTGAAATTGGGTGTTACATGATAACAATTAATGCAACACTCCAAAATGAAAGCTTTACATTTTCCCAATAAATGTGGCCGAGTAATTTACCCCATTTAGAGAAAGAAAACACAGTGATTCTATTTTAAAATAGGCTAAAGGATCAAATAGGTACATGAACTAACTTAAAGTGTTCAATTAGCCCCTTATATAGGAGGTTCTGCGCGGCCGTCGTCAATTGGGGCGGTTCCCGGTGGAATTTTTTGATGAATTTTTTTTAGCATCCTCTCCATTAAGTCTAGTTTACTCATACCAAATTTCAGCTAAAAATTCAATCGGGAAAGCAGTCAAATGATTTTTTGAAGATAACTGCGCAGTTAAACTACGCAATACATTTCGGAAAATCATTTGACTACCTTCCCGGTTGAATTTTTAGCTGAAATTTGGTATGGGTAAACTAGACTGAATGAAGAAGATGCTCTTAATAATTCATCAAAAAATTCAACCGGGAACCTCCCCAATTGGCGATGGCCGAGCTGAACCTCCTATATAAGGGGCTAATTGAACACTTTAAGTTAGTTCATGTACTTATTTGACCCTTTAGCCTTTAAAATATTACATTATTTTCACTCTTAATTTGAAAAAGTTTCCAAATTAAGAATTTGGGCAATTAAGAACTATGAGGGTGTTTGAAATTGATTCTGAAGAATAATCAGATATAGTTTTTCAGAAACTGATTCCCCAGGCTTTTAAAAACTGTTTCCAAGAGCAATTTGGAGCACTTAGAAACACTTCTCTATTTTTATCTAAATACTCTCATATCCATTTCTGCTTCCGGAAGTACTAAAAACAGTTTTAAAAAGTAGACTAGAAATTCAGAATGAAATTAAACTCGTCTGGTACGTGATCACGTTGGGCAGCCCCTAGGCCCACTACTACCAAATTTATACTAGTATAAATGAGAATGGGCCTATAATATATTTCAATGCTTCATCAGTAAACGGAGATGATCATATCGTAAGAGAAAACATTAAGGGTGATTCTGTAAATTACCTTGTTGAGAAGCACTGCAAACAAATGGCCAATTGATTGACAAAATCATACTGAACAAATATGAAGTTAGAAGAAACTTGAAAGCTCCATGTCCATTCGCTTTTCCATTAGCCATCATTTTGATTACTGGAGTTTGGCAAGTGCAGTGAGAAGGGTAGCTCCTTAGAGCTCACTAAGAAAAAAAATATAAATAAAGCGCCCGAAATCGAAATTATAAGAGATGGTAATTAAACCTTTAAAGACACACTTATACATGCATATTAGCGTAGATGGGGCCCAAGTGGGCCAATTAGCATGGGACCCATCAAGTTCAGTGAATTTTAGACGGAGTACATTATTAAAAACATTTTTATGATTGAGAAAAATAAAAATTGTTTATAATATACTACGTACTCCGTGATTAAATGTATATAGTTTGTTCTTTTCTTTATAGACGATCAACAAATAAAGTTACTCACGAGTTGGCTAGAGTAACTTGTTTCTTGTCTGATTGTCACGATTCTCGATCTTATTTCATAGATAAGTTAGCTTTCATTTTGATTATTGCTAATTAACTTTATTCCTTTAAAAAACATTTTTTGATTAAATAAGAGAACTGATATGGTCAGTCATTCGTTCGTAAACATGTAACAACGAAGTCAATTTTTAATTTTATTTGTGGTTGCTTTATTAATTCAAAATATGAAGTGTTAATGACTTTAATCAGGATTTGTATATAATAAGAATAAGAATATTGTTGACTGTAGACTCTATCATAATCATCTCTACAGCCTGTACAATATCATATCTCTCAATCAATGAGAAGAAGGGTATGGAGAATCTAGAGAGAACCTTTTTACAATACTTTTTCCTACTCGATCTAACATGTAACTTTTTTTTTTGTAAATACTCCAGGAGGGTCTGGGGGGCCTGAAGTAATCAGGGTTGAAACTTACTCCATTGAGTTTCAAATCCTTATGTGTCTAGCGGGTTTCGAACTCGAAACCTCTCACTAGGCACGATAACTTACAACCAGTTAGGCTGAAATGCTTGGTTTATTTTTTCCAATACTCTAAATGTGACCTACCTTATGAAGTTTAGGGATTTTTTTATTGGATGACATTTTGTTTGGAACAAAGACTAGCCGCCTCTATTCATATCAAAAGTTTCAGAATCATTACATCAATCATGGGAAAGACAAAACTGACACCAACTAGACTCCTGCAACTATGACTGTAAACCCTATGATGAGCTTTAGAAACGATCACCCCTGAAAGAGCAACACGAGTCGCTAACCATATAATGGGTTTGACACAGCCATCCATATTCTAATAGATCCAAACATGCTCAATGACATAAAACAAGACTAAAATCTCAAACAAACTGACAGACCTAACAACATAGACGATAACAAGAAACCAAAAGACCAAAAAATGAAAACTTATTGGAAAACTTTCACGGACTCTTACATCTAGCACAACCCATGGCGGTGGCTCAGGAGGAGGCTGTATCCTTGGTACCACTTCTCTCTCGGCCGAGTCTCCTTCCTCTTCAAGCATCTCCTCCTCAAAAACCAGTTCTTTCTCCTGATCCCCAATAGTCATGTCCTTATATTTGTTTGCAATTTCCTCCATCTTCCTTTCAAGAATGTTGAAAAATTAATCGGTCACCTGCAATTAAACCAAAACCGAAACACACCTGCTTCCACCTATTCTGAAGAAGCTGTGCGAGCAAAAACAAGGTAGAGCCCTGCCTCAAACGATCGATCACAAAGCCGGAGCACAACCCCTCCCTCCACGATCGAGGAAGAAAATCGGTGTAACAACACAAACCCTAGCGACCCAGACCCTAGGGAGACGTCCGCCTTCCATTGGATGACCTAGCTAAATACTGTAAATACGAACCAGAAATACAAGTTAGGAGGCCGAGCTTATATTAGGGAATTTTTATTGGATGACCAAAACTTAAGATTTCATTATATTATCACTACATTTCTACCACAAATTTTTTCTTGGAAGGTCGATCCCGTCAACCTCCCTTGTCTCATCCACACCGGACACAAAATTTTGTTTCACGATCTTCTCCTAGGTTGAGTACTACCAGTTGCTAATAGCGATATATTTATAATTGTTTTTATCACTCAGGGGATATTACATACACCAATATAGTTATATAGAGGCATATAGCAAATCCATGTCAAATTGGTGTCAAAATACCTACCAAATAGGTTTTGCCGCTTTGGCACGAATTGCTCTTGCCAAATCCTTAACAAAGATTCATGCCAAATTTGTGCTAATCCGTCCCTTTAGTTTTGTAATAAGGATTCATGGTCGTACACTCGTACTCTCTTATTCTAGCATATTTCTGCCACCGATCTTAATTAAGAAATTGCTTGATGATCATATTCGATCTTGTCAAGTTTTGGCTCAAGCTTGAGACACCCATAATCCTCTTTGGAGGGGGTCTTTTTTTAAATAAACTTCTTATTTATTACCATAAGAATAAAAATAAGAATACGAGTAAGAGTATTAAGTAGTTTCTGATTCCATTTCTCATTCCAAATTAGGGCTAGACTGACTTTATTCGATACATATACATTTACAATGTAGCTCATTTAATCAATGTATTTATAATTTACTTATTTGAGCTCTCTAGACCAATAACATTTATTGAAAATGTGGTGATGACAAATTAAAAGTGTATCATTGTATACATAAAGTTTGCAAAGATGCAAATGTATGTGCATTTGGAAGGGTTTGTAGTAAGGAGAGACAAAATACTTCGAGAAAGAAAGTTTGTATAATATAAATTTAATAATATGGGTCAGAATAATTGAGGTTGGTGCTCTTGAAGAAGGTAAATAGAGATAGAGAATAACTTTGATGTGGAATCTTAAAAGTCAAGGCCAAGCCAGATTGTTTATCTTGGTGCTACGGAGAGAGAGGAAAGTCATAAAAAAAGTTTAAAAAAAGTTTTATGACTTATATGTATTCTTGTGTTTATATCTCTTTTAAGCATTTGTATATGGAGAAGGCAGATGACACTAAGATATCTTTAAAATATCTCATGATTTACGCCTTTAATTTTCTTTAACATTTTTCAAGAAAGTTGTTTAGTAATGTCAACCTTATTGAGCGGATGAATCTTTTAACCATTGAAATATAAAAGCACCATATAGAATAATTATTAGTTTATAGTATAGACTTTTAACTTTAAAGACTTATATTATTATATCACTGAGCAAAATGAATTTGATTTTGAATGAAAGTTATTAACAACCTGCTTATATTAGAAGCAATATTTAAAATGATCTCTCATACGGAGTAGTATATACTCCATATAAGGTTTCATTTTACTAAGCATCTTATAATTATTTATTGAGAGGAGAAAATTAAATCCCACGCCATCTGGTCGATATTATTTTCCTTAATTTCAAGATGGAAGATTTTATTTTACATACAACTTCTTTTATCAATCAAAAAACAATATAATAAACATATTTCAAACATGGAACTAAGGAGGTTTTCTTTTGGACTGAAATTTGCTGGTCTGGTCTGATTTGATTTGGTCTGAACTGGTCTGATCTGATATGAGACTGAAAACAGATCAAAAGAAAACATTCTAAACTCCATTCCCTAATTTCAAAAGAAACTCATATATCATCAATGAAATAAACACATGCATTATATTATATTGTCACCATTTCAATGATTTTAATTTAGTCATGCTCTCCTCTTCGTTCACTAGTTACATATTAAGTGTGTGCTTTTAGGGAAACAGTGTTTTGTTTTTCTGAAAAATAAAAAATTAAAGCTTGCGCAATACACAATGTCCTTAAGATCAATTCGCTGCCTCTCATAGTGCTAGAAGCCTCGCGGCGTCAGTTTCCCATGATACGATGACTGACGAACAACTGTATTCAGCATTCAATAGGTTGCTCTGCCGAACTGGAACAAAAGGTAGAATTCAGGAAGTTTTATCGAAAGTTTGACAGAGTTTTTCGTTTGAGAGAACAATGCAGCGAGTATGTGACAATATTTCAGTATGCTCAATGTGCTCAATATTTTTTCCAAAAGATTTTGACGAAGCATATATAGGGGAGGATGAGCCTTTGTATATATTAATTATGCACTAATACCACACTTATTGTGGTGAAATTGCCCATTAAACACGTCTTAAGAGTTGGAACGTCACAAACCATTAACCACACAATTAAACCATGCATTAATCACATATTATAGTTTAAGAATGTTAACCAACGTTTGAAACACTTCTTGTTTGAAGAAGAAATTAAAAAGTTCATAAACCGAATGTCATTCTATGTTTAGGATGTTTTTACTTGGATTGTAATTTGTTGGTCTGATCTGGTCTGATTTCTCTGTATTTTTGTAACTATCCAAGTCTGGTCTGATCTGGTATGGGACAAATTACAGTCCAAGTAAAAACATCCTAGTTCTACAATTGAACTTTGAGGATCAATTTCTCATTCACCTGTTATCCGTTTTAAGTATACTGTATATCGCATTGAACCTCTTACCAAGGGGAACTCGAATCCACTTTGACCCGACCCAAATTAGAAGTGGACATCACTTGAAAATCTGCCCGAAAATGGCAATTTAATGCAAATTTAATACTCCCTTCGTCCCTGAAAACTTTGTCAACTTTCCTTTTTGGTTTTCCCACTAACTTTGATACTTTCTCTTTTAGGTAAAAAATTTGTCGTTTCAGTTAATTCTCTCTCTTATACACAAACCTCAACCACACTGTTTTTACTTTATTAATCCTTGTGCCAATCAAACTTGACTAAGTTTTAAGGGACGAAGGAAGTACAAATTTTCCAACAATACCCCACATGATTGGAAATTGATTTTCAAGACTTGAAAAAGACACAAAGATACATAGACACGACTGTGTTCACCGGATGATTCCTGCATATGGAGAGGTAGGTTTTATCCCGGGCCAGCTCTTGTAATTTAGAGGCCCCAGGCGAAAAAGTTTCAATGAACATACTTGTATAACATATCAATGTAATTTGTATAAAACAATGATGAAAAAATACGATAATCCACCTTTGTTCCGTTGTCATGGGTGTGCCCGTTTTGGCCATGGTTCCCCGTCATGGTTCTGCGAAAGTTTCTAACGAATTGAGCCTCCACAGTTCTCCTTTGAAGCAGTCTTCTTCTCTCTCACATATGTGATTCTTTTACGAGTATCTCACATACTCTTCTAATGTTATCATGCATATCAACATTTTAGAATCATTAGAGAAATTTTTTTTTGCTAACCTCGTGTGGGGGTCTCTGCTTCAATGAGGAGTGGGTAGGATCGAGCTCGAGACTCCCACAATGACCATCATTCATTCTACAATTTACTTGTCCCTTTTGAACCTAGGGCCAACTATAGAATTTTTCAATTCAAGGGTTAGTCGCATTCCTCATGACAACTTCTCAATCAATTCTCTCTATCCAATGCATTGATTAGCGGATCTGTTATGTTATCATTTGACTTCACGTAGTCAATCGTGATAACACCTATTGTTAGACTTTGTTTAATGGTATTATGTCTAAGCTACCACAAACATTTTTAGACTTGCCATTGTACATATTGCTTTGTACCTTCCTTATTTAATGGTTCCAAAACCTTTATCAATTTCATTTTAATTAAAAAGCATATTGTTAGAGTTACTTATCTCTCCGCTGCAAAAAAAATAACCACACAATTTTACTTTCTTATTGGTGTGTAAATCTATTTTGGCCAAGTTGAATCGCATGTGCACGAATTGAAATCCTTAAGGCCTTGTTTGGTTGAAAGGAGGGGAGGGGAGAGTCAAGGAGGGAAGGGAAGGGAAGAGGAAGGAAGGATTTTGATAAAAAAAATTGTGTTTGGTTGGAAGAAATAGGAGGAAATGTTTAATGAAAATATTTTCGCAATTTACTTTTATTTGATAGCTTAGTTAAAAAAATAGATACATGTCTAACTATTGTGAATATTACTCCTATGGTCATGAGTCATATTTTTATTTTATTTGATTTTTTACTTTTTTAATTTTATAATTTTTCATTTTTCAGTTTGGAATTTTTAATTTTTATTTTTATTTTTTAAGTTTTTTATTTTTAATTTTTAAATTTTTAATTCATACTCCGTAATTTTTAAATTTTTAAATTTTTAAAATTTTTAATTGTTAAATTTTGTAATTTTTAAATTTTCAAATTTTTTAATTTTTAAAAACTTTTTGTTTTTTATCTTTTTATATTATAACATTTTGTTCATTCACGTAGGAGATGTATAGTTTGTGGTTATCAACACGTTTCTTCTGAAATACCCCGATTTGGGAGGTTTAGAATGGGAGGAAGTGGAGGATTTTAAAAGTCTTCCACTTTCCTCCCCTTCCCCCCTATTTCCTTCAACCAAACACACACAAGTCCCCCACTTTCCTTACCTCCCCTCCGAAACTCTCCAACCAAACAGGGCCTAAATAGTTGTGCACTCTTTGGATGACACTTCTTTTTTTAATTCGTTTAGGAAAGATGTATGAAAAAGTACAGTGCATGAATGCATGATACGTATACATAAAAGAAGTGCGACGAAGTAAACAACAAATGCATCAGTAGTTCATAATACAATAATATGGAGTACTGGATATATCATATATATCATTGCTCTTGGTGATATATATCAGCTCTGATGGATCCATCTCTCGAATTCTGGATCAAGTACAAGCATTTTGTGTAAATGCCACTTTCATTTGATCAAGATCGTAGAAAACCCCCATTGTCTGCTGCTGAATGTTCCCAAATACTCCCAGATCAGAGCTTCTTGCAGTGGGAGCGAAAGCCAAACACACTTGGGAGGCGTCATTAGCAGACAGTTTCAGCATGACGGCGGCCGGAGGCAAATGCAGCACCGTGTTTTTATCAAACACGTAGCTTATCGTGGGGAATTTGGGAGTTCCCTTTGTGAAGTCGTAACAGGTGTTAAGCATCCCATCTTTGTCCCCCGCAAGTAGTGCTACTTTCTTATACTTGAGACGACTCATTTGGTATTCGAATGCGCTGTTCAGAGCTGTGAACGCTTTCTGGGGCAGCAATGATATGGCAGATCCGGAGTCGATGATGGTTCCAGGCGACTTAAACACGGCGGAATTGATACCCAGCGACCTTCCGTTCACCATTATGTCCACGATACGAATGAAGTAAAAACCAGAATCTGGGATGTATAAGTTGGCGTATACCACACCGGAAGCGGGGGGCGAGCTCCCGAAGGATAAATACCCGTCTCTCCCGCTTTCTGTGGTGAGGCAATAAGAGAAACGGAAAGAAAATGTTGCGTTTGCTTGAGAAACGATGGAGGGGTAAGAAAGACCGGGGCCTAACCCCATCACTCCCGCCTCTTCCCTTCCGGAAAAGTTACTACTATTGCCGCACCCGAAAATGAAGTCGTCCAGCACCGCCCGCGACGAGCTGGGGTCGAGCCACAGCTGGGCCTTCATCATACTGCCCTGCGAATGCGATTCTTCTGCGTAGCCTACATCGTAGAGACAAGCTTGATGAGGACCTTGTTCAGGGCCACACTCGACAAGCGGGAGCGCCGATGACTTTGATGGGTCAAACATCGTTTCTCTTTGCTTGTAGCACTCTTTGCACCCACTGCATTGAGTCCACGTGAGGTCGCTGGCGGTGTCGAACACGAGGCTCAGTTTGGTCCTCTGGCTCCCGAGTTGCACCTGCGCGACGTGGGTTCCCAACACCCATTTTGAGCTGGCATACGCAGAGAGCCACTTATATCCCCCGTCGTTGCTTTCCACCTCCGCACCGCTGCCCATCTCGCCCCTCACTGTTCTCAGTCGCCGCGCCTTTTGGTGCCGCAGAACCTCCCTCATCATCGTTGCGTAGTCTCCCCTCGAGTTCCCCTCTGCCCCGAATCTGTGGACCAACTTCAGCGACGCTATGCCCAGTCCTACGAGATTTTTTTCGAAAAAATATCGTTAATTCTCTTATACTTCCTACCTCCGTCCCCGTCCCGCTAAGATTGTCTCATTTTACATTTTCAGTCCGTCCCATTAAGATTGTTTCATACCAAATTTGGTAAAGTTTGTGTGTCTCTAAATCATTCTTACTTTATTATTCTTATTTTATCAATTCAATATCAACCACATAAACCACATTTTATTAGTTTGTATGCCACTACCTCTTGTCCAATTGTTAGTGGGACGAAGGGAGTATAAAAGTTTGACAATTTGATTTATCAATATTTTTGTTCCTTAAGAGTTTGTCAAGTTTGATGGGCACACACAATAATAAAATAAAAACAGTGTGGTAGAAATTTGTGCAGATGATAGAGAAATAATAGAAAACACAAATTGATTGATTAAAAAGAAAGTGACAAATTATTTGAGACAACTAAAAAGAGAAAGTCAACAAATTTTTACATAATGACGGTAAGAGTATTTTTTACTCACTGAGAATTAAATAAAATGACGGTCAAACTTTTGCGAGACAAGGGTGAAAATGGAATTAAAAATAACATACCCCGTATTACATCTTTATTTCATAATGTCGTTTTTTCTTTCTTACAAAAGTGTCATACTCCCTCCGTCCCAAAATGGTTGGCCAAATTTCCTTTTTTGGCCGTCCCAAAAAGGTTGGCCATTTCCATTTAAAGTAAGGAATATGTGGCTAAAGTTAATTCTCTCTCCTCTGCACAAATTTTAACCACACAGTTTTTACTTTATTAATCCACGTGCAAGTCAACATTGGCCAACGATTTTGGGACGGAGGGAGTAGTTTTCAACGTGAAAATTTCATATTTTATCTCAAAATATATGTCATCATTCTTTTTAATAGACTCAAATTGGCATGCATGTTCTTAGATCTTGATATGCAGAAATATTATCTCAATAATAGAGTTATTTAGCGTTATAATAATACATAATGACATGCTTTAAAAAAACAATATAATGACATCAAATGATGAAATTAAGCATATGTTTTTTTCCATCCCAAAATGATTTTTTTTTATTCTACAAATCCAATTATTCTTTAATTTTGACCATTAATTTTTCAGAAACACTTCTAATCTATTATCTCAAATTCAGTTTATTGCGCTCTCAAAGTGTGCTTGTTCACCTCTTCTTTCTTTTCGTTCCTATTACCTAGACGACTTTTTGTGAAAAAACTATGGAGATTATTTGCAATTGAGTAGTTGAGATAGAATTGATTTTGATCGACGAGAAAATGTTTATTGATTTGTGATCAATTTCTATTTAACTTTTATGATTCACTAGAAATTGTAATCTGATATGTAGATTTACAAGATTAATACGGAGTAATTAGCACTAACTTGAAATTTATCATGAGAGAATTAATTTTATTAATTCTCAATATTTATGTTGAAATAAAAAATATGTGTCGTTATGGTGTGGTCCCTAAATGTAATATATAGTGCATCATGAAGAAGTAAAAAGTGACAAATTTATATGTCTACCGGTACACACTTGTGGAAATTTATTTATTTAGAGAAAAAATTGTATAGTCATATTTTATGAACTATCACCTTTTTAGTCACAGAATATATTTTTATACTTATATGATAGAAAAAGTTCAGTTAAGTATAAAATGTCACTAAATATTAAAAAACTGAAACAAATAGTTGCTCTTAATAAATACAAAAAATTGATCATAAATATCATTTTTTTCAATAATGAAGTTGATCCGACACCATCCCCTACGACTTCCATTTCAACTTTGTTTGAAATGAGTGGTTCTACACATGTATCAAAAAGTAAAGAGACCCCAAATTAAACTCCAGGGCATTTGGCGAACAAATTAAAGAAGATTTTGGATCTAAATTGACCATCACGATATGGAATTATGGAGTAGGAGAGTAGTCTCTAATTAAAACGAATTGTTTTACACTACTTTTTGCTGTCGTATAATTACCTCCACAAAAGTAACAACTATTCCACATTTCGCCTGTAAATTTGAAAATAAGACTCTTCCTGTCCTACATAATTCACACTCGAGTTGAGTAAAATCCGGGTTTGGTATGACACTCATACAAATTTTTAAATAAATGTGAATGGAACGAACTAAAATGTACATTTTGTTCCGAAATGGGAAAAAATACTACCACTTTAACGAGATTTAAGATATGTGTTGGTGACAATTATTTAACAGGAAAATAAAATATTTTCAATCACGTATTGTTTTTTAGATTAATAACAAAATTTTTGGAAGAGAGAACGAGTAGTATAATTCATCTTTACCCTTTTTACACAGAAACTGGAGACGATGGTGATAGGCAATTCATGCCTCAGTGCCTGACTGCTACAAGTATACAATCTCGCGCGGTAACATAATAAATTGTTAATAATGTGAGTAAATCATGCTTAAAATTAGATGTGATCCGATCTTGCACGGAAATGCAAAAGTTATGAGGGAACGGAAAACGTCAACTTTTGCTCAAAAAAACGCTTATTTGGAGAGTTTCCAAAAAGTTTCCAAAAAGTTTCCAAGAGTTTCCTTAACGGGAAACGTACTCTTTCACGAGAGTTTCCGTGCTACATAGGATTGCATCGCATCCTTTAGTTGTAACTACTCGTAAAATACGTATACATTAGAACAGATATTCACCGGACCAGACCACACATTACGATCCATTTAAAACATTCTTATTTAGTCCTATCAAAATATAAAAATAATTTAAATTTCCTTAAAAATGAGCGAATAAGTTCGACATTGAGAATAAAACAATGACATTCCTATTTGAAAATTTGTGTTATGTTTTACTCGTTAGAGAATTCTCTCCTACCTCATGGAGATGTCGATTATGCTTAAATTCAAGGGTATATATATACATTACCTTCATGAGATGCCCTACAAACAAAGGGCGAAAGGAAGGAGAAAATGACAATGAGCAGAATGAAGATATTTGATTTTCCGCCACCAGCCGCCATTTCAATCAATCCTAGAGAGCACAGGATAAAAGAACAACACAAGACAAACTATAAGAAGATGAGAGCGAGAGAATATAACAAGTGGAGGGATATATATATACAAATAAAAAAATTGCTTCACATGGCTAAAACAGGCAAACATATGCAAAACTAAGACTTGAAAAACACAATATAATTTGCAAGTGATCACATATATAGATTAATAGTTGAATGTTGAAATTTCAAAAGTACTTTGTTAGAAAATGACATATCAATGGAGTTAAAGTAACGTCGTCTCAAAACGACCCAATAATAGTCATAACTTGAAAAAAGTAATAATGATAAACTGAAAAATTAAACAAAAGTAATGACAGTCGTAAGGCATGAAATATAAATTAAAAGCAATATTATAGTCCACATTTTATATACCCCATTACCTGTTTATAGAATAATAAATCCCACTCACTACCTCTCCATCGAGGTGATGGATAGTTTTTTTAACCGTAAATAATGAGGTTATTTGTGTCACAGTTCTAACACTATTTGTGTTTCATCTGAACTATGTCGAACTATGTAGTGATGAACTAATTTTGACATATATAGTTCGATTCGCTACAATTCATAATAATGCCCATCTTATTCAATTGGAAAATGCATCTGTATAAATCACATTGAGGCAGTATCACAAATGTGAGTTCATAATTTTGATTCAAGAATGTCACAAATGTGATTATTGATACTCAAATGTATATAGATAATGTCAAATATTATACAATGTACAGGTAACAATGCTGATATTGATATTCACGCGTGTATGTCTTGTATTTAAACTCTATTTTTCAAAAGGATGGTGAATTTAAAGGCGGTGTATCCCATAGGGTCATAGTAAAGTAAATAAAATGAAACAATAAAGCATCAGGATTCTAGTTGATCAAGGTGTTCCAACTACACTGAAGGGGTAAGTTTTATCGAATAACAATTAGCTTAGGTCTACATTATTGTATGCATAGAGTGTTATATTCAATGTTATATTCAAAAGATGAGTGTAGTTGAGATGTATATGAGATATGTTTATGAATTGTATGTGTGGGCATACTAGAAAAGATATCTTGAGCAATGTGAAAATTAAGAGAAAAGTTATATTAGAACCTATAGATAAAAACCGAGAGTTTCGTTGATGATGATTTGGTCATATGTGTATAAGCAGGCTAAGTGACGCGTCTATTAAATAGATTGAGGTGGAGGTGATCGAGGAAGGAGAGTGGGAGTGAGATCGGGAGGGGATGACCCAGGTTGATTAGAATAGTCAGAAATGATATGATGTGAGGTGGATTAGATGTCATTATTATATTGTTGCCTTCATCTTTCTCCTCTTATGGTTTTAACTGATATAATATGTTGACATATATTAAGCCAATCCCAAATTTTTTTCGGAATAAGGCTTAGAATTTATTGTATATGTGTAATATTTTTCCAACACAAAATCAAAGAACGTAAAAAGTTTAACGCCACTAAAGATTATAAATTTATAACAATATCAGTGTTTGTAACTTCTGAGCTAAAGTTTTTAACTTAAACATATACCTCTATGCTATTTACTCAAGTAGTCGTGTGTATCTCGCATTCCTCTTTTGGGCACATCTTTTATACCATAATCAAAGTATAATACTGTAATGATCTAGGCTATAGAGCGAAAATCATTCAAGATAAGCGTAGGAATTCTAGGAAAAGAATAGAATTCGAACAATACAACACATAGAGTAAAGAAGGAGAGAAAGGGAGATCATCAATGGAGTTTATTCAGTAGTTCATGACCGATACAAGCAAGTATTTATATACAATACAATCTCAGTTACAATCATAACCGACTGGCAACAAACTCTTAATTGCCCTCTACACGTGTGTGCTACTTGGACCCAGATAAGGTTGCAGCTGATGTGGCAAATTGATGTGGCAAGAGTAATAACAATCCACCCCCTTACAAACAGCTTGTCCTCAAGCTGTCAAATGCCTCTCCACAAACTCAGGAAACCTTTTAGTCAGCTCTTCATAGCTCTCCTAGGTTGCATCTTCTTTCTCCCCATTTGACCACTGAATTAACCAATACACCACAACGTGATTTCTCTTCTTTGCAATCTTTCTTTCCAGCACCGCAAGAGGTTCAACCCTTATAATTCCTTAATCATCCAACTGTGGCATATTTAGTTGAGTAGGAATTTCACCATTGTGCTTCTTGAGTTGTGAGATGTGGAAAACTGGATGTATTCTAGCCTCTTCTGGTAGTTTGAG